AAAATAGTAGGAAAAGTTATTTTCCATTTTGAGGGAGCTCCTAGTTTTGATGAAGCACACGCGAAGCTGACAAGGGCGTAAAGTAGTCAATCACGAGCGACGAAATTTAAACACCTGTCGATTCAAAAATATGTCTTCCAGGTCGCTGTGATCGTATTAGATTAGCTACACAGACTAGGCTTTTAAGAAAGAGCAGCTTGAATATCATTCACTAATGCTTTCGTTTTGGAAGTACTGTGAGGGACATTCAAGCCACTTTTAGACTTTGTAAGTGTCCGAAGATCTGAGCTCAGTCCCGAGCGGCCGTTAAATTAAAAGATCTCACAATAATACAATACCTAATCGATACCTCAAAAAAATTTTAGAAAAAAGTGAAACAAAATTGGCAAAAAAAGTGATAGGAAACATTTTTCGCTTTCGGAATTTTTCAAAAAGGATTTTCTTTTAAATTTTTCGCTCCCTTTTCCGAGCGGTATTTTAAACCCTCCATTTTTTAAAGTGATTCCGGGTACTTCAGCACTCAGCGTTCAGGATTTTCGCGAATTTTTACGCTTTAAATTTCTGACGCATATATACTTGCAGGAAGCGGGAATTGCAATTACCGGGGAGCGAGCGTGAATTGCTGATAAAACTAACACCACAGAAGCGGTGAAATGAATGTAATGCATCAAGCACTGCATTCCTGAAAAAACAAGGAAAAACAAAACAAGGAGGTGAGCACAGGATAACGAGCAGTCGACCATTAAACAATAACCGAAGAGCGGAGCAGAGCGAGTGAAAAAGGATGTTGTTGTGAGAGGACAGTTGATCAAAACACCACAGTACCCAACAACAAAAGACATAAGCGCCACAAAGAATAGCACGATCCCCCGAACTATCGATGTTGGCATCCCATTTTAATAATGTCACTGGAGTGCTCTGACAAAAAATGATAAAAAAGTGACAAGAAAAAAGGTGAGACAGAGTGGTAAGAAGCAAAGAGAACTGATTTATTGAAACTTTAAATAACGTTTTTTAAGGAATGAGGCGAAACAAAGGTTTGGCAATAAGGCAGGCATTCCCACTGCAGCAAAACCGCATTTTTATGAACTTTTGAGCAAATTACGCATTTCTCTCTTCAAATTTCTAAAATTCACTCGTACGCTTTCTAGGAAACCGCGAAAACAATCTAAAAATGAAGGAAATCCCTAAAACCCGGCCAAGTATGCTAACAGCATGCATGAGGCTGTTGCTCTCAAACGAAATTCACTTCACTGATAAAGAGTGCAGACGAACAAATCACGGTTTCAGGTTCCTGATAAAAATTTTGTGGGGAACTAACCGGTGATGAGATCGATGCGATTAAAACTTCGTTCCTTTCTCGTCTTATTTCTCAAAGGAAGAACTTATCCGAAAGAAACTCTCTCGTCATCGACATTTATTTCTGTCCCTCTTGCTCCAAGTTGATCACATTGAAGCATTTGTTCGGTAGGGAATC